ATCATAAGATAACAATGTCCTACACAGCAACAGTTAGGCTCTGGGTATATCTAAACACTCGAGGTGCAGGGGCTACTTACCGAGGCTGCCCCAAGCTTCACCGTTTGTAGGCTCGATCTTGAGAATCCTCTGCAGATATTCCGACGCCTTGGGAAAATCCTCGCGCGTCCTGAGGACAAGACTAGCGGCATTCATGGCAGTCACCGAGTTAGGGTTGGCGGCAAGTGCCCTTTCATAAGCCTCTAGTGCCTCGTTGTGGTTCCCCATGAGCTCGGACACGGAACCTATCATGGTTGCTAATTAGCATCGTGTTTTTCGTGCAAGGTAGCCAGCAAGGGCGTGGGAAGCACATACCGATTCCAATCCACACATTTTCGGTCAGATTCATAAAGGCCTGCCGTTGTTGATTCCATGTAGGGATTGGCGGCGGCGGCGGGCCTGGGGGTCCCGGGGGACCGTGATGCATTTGCATCTGCATCGGAGGGGAGGGATGGTGGTTTGCCATTTGAGCGGTTGGGAGAGGCTGGGGCGGATGCCAGTGTTGCGCTACCGACCCAACCTAATAGTAGATTTAAAGTTTCACAAGGCGATAGCAATGGCCTTGGTATCCCATGCAGCTGTTCCCGGGGACGCTACGGGGACGGTACTAGGTAGCGGGGTGTCAGGGGCCGTCAAAACCTGAAAGCGCAGTCGCGATGACTGTACCAAAGTGTTTCTCCTCTTTAGGCTGCTGGACCACACGACACGTGGCGACGGCGTCAGCAATGGTGGTGATGGACGAATGCGAAGTTGAAAAGGCTGAAAATGATTGATTGCGAAAGCAAAGGGGGCGGACGGCAGCAGCTTCTTATAGTTGGACAAGATCCGCCAAAGCTACCGAGGTCGGAATGGCGACGTCGTGCTCTTTTTCCAGACTGAAATTTGGATTAGACGAGCAATGCGGAAATATTGCTCGCGCCAATGGCTGACTGGTTGAAGCGGTACACCGGTTGAGTTGGGATGGAAACTGGACCAAGGTTGGGATTTGGTGTTGGGCGGGCCTCGCAATAAAGTCGTGCGCGATGCAGCGAAGGCGGGAGACGGGAGAAAAAGAAGGGGAAGGGGGAAGGGGAAAATTGGCTGGGGAAGAGGCGATCTAAAGGCAATGGGGAAGGCGGCCAGGAAGCAGCTCGATTCGCTGGACGGGGAGTTCTGACCACTTTTGCAAACTCCCCTAACCCACGGCATTGTGTACGTACTTTTGGCTAGGTAAGTTTGGAATTTGCTCCCGGTTCCGCTTGGTGCCGCATGTCATACGGCGCGCCAAGAGAACTGACCCACACGCGCTGCACAAGGCCCTGGCGGCACAGGCAGCCCAGGTTACGGCTGCTAGGTCGTGGCAGGTTGCGGTACATTGGGGCGGGGCGAGGTGGGCACAGGGGTGCCGCGGTGGTGTACCGGGGTACTTGGAGCGAGCACGGGCCAGCTTGGACTGTTGACCCTTGTAGTGCGGCTGGTCGAGGCCACACCACCACCTGCATGGAGGACGTGGAGGAGGCAGATGTGAGGCAATATCACGCCTAGAGGTTACTTAGAGATGGCACCCAGGCAGCAAATATAGTGAAGCGATGGTAGCGGAAGATGGGATGAAGCCCGTCTCTGACGCAAAAGTCAAGAGGCAATAACTCTAGAGTGAGGGGTCTGGGTAAGGGAAGGTGCCCCTGGTTCACAAGGCCTTCTAAACTCACTACAATGGTCGCCTTGCAGCCTATCTGCCTGTCGTCATATTAGAATTCAGGTTTCAGGTCTCATAATCTGCCCCTGGGTTCTCACCACTTCAGGAACATCTACAGTAGTAGGTACAGAGGCATTGCGCAAAAGGGTTCCTAGTTTATGCAGTCTGGTTGCAGGATGGATGAGCGGAAGGAGCACTGTAGGTCAAGAGGCATACGCATGCTGGGAGAATGATATGTACCTTACTCTGCAATTTCAACCTCTTCATCTGGTCCTTCAAGACCGGAAGACAATGAGATCTCCCAAGCGCCTTGCACGCGCCTACCTCGCATTTTGGCGTCGGATGCCTCTTGTGATTCTCTTACATTCACGCTTGCATTCACTGACATGCAACAATGATATATCCGTACCCAGCACCGGATGCACAAGATCGGACGTACTAATACATGAGCAAATAAGGTACCATTACTTACCTTGTATGCCGAGGCAATTCCGAGAAGCAAATCAACAACGTGGCAACCACGAGGAATCAAGGAAACTACGGCCTTCACCCTTGTCTTTGTCTGAATCACTTTCTTTTGTTTGACGGGAAACTTGAAGGGGACTATTGTCTATTAGCTTGCACTCCAGTTTGACCAACGGAAACAATAAGCTTTCCTATCTTCAATGATCCTACACTGATTACCTCTAGGTAGCAAGTGCCAACTTTGATGTGCGATAACGTACACGCGCTGGTAGCAAAGGAGAGATAAAGATACATTGGGTGAGTAATTAACACTGCCTAAAATTCATCGCTATCCAACCAACAGAAGAGACCCTGACGACCAAGTCATTGCGTGAATCCACGTTCAATCCCATTCAAAGCGAAAGCGTGGATGGTACGTGCCCAGGTGCAGATCGAACAAGTTCACAGAGTGAAGCCAGGGCATTCCATCAGCGATCAGGTCATCTCGTACTCTTTCGCCTAGGCATCCCCAAAAGCTTCCAAAACTCTTACTTCTAGACTCTTGCTGTCATTGCAAAGTCCAGGTCGTTTCCCAGGTACGAGTTACAATATCAAAGTGGAAGCTGCCCCTTGTGTTCCACTCGTCCATTGAGGCTCGACACTTGGCGGCAGGAGCCGTTTGGTCTTCCGACTCCCCCGCACTTTCCATTTTCCCCTGGGCACTTCGCTTTGCAGCCAGGTGCCTGGCGGTTGGCAAACACCAACAGGCAAGCACTTTTCAGTCCCGCCGTCTTCAACCTTCATCGGGTTCCGTACCAGAGCGGTGAACTGACTTGCGATCTGACAACTCCCAAACCGACCGACATCCAATTTGATGGCTTGATAACCTTTTCATTCGCACCATTCGCATGGGTCGGAGAACGCTTCGTCCCAACTCCCTCCCTTTCAGGGCTTGCCCTACCAAACGACGCCCCAGCGATGATTTCTTTTAGGCGGTGTCCGGTGTGGCTATCTACCTGACGACAATAGCAGGTGGGGAATCAAATATTAGGGCTATACGAAAGGAACGTACCTTTTTGCAGGTCCACTACGGAATTTGGAGTATCTACAACGGAATTCGAAACGCCGACGCCGTCGACGCGGCATAGTACCGCCGCATTAGAGAAAAAAAAGGATAAGAGAAAAATTAGTTAGGATTTTTTTAGGTTCTTTGATAATATTAAAGTACCGTAGCGTACTATATTAGGGGAAGATATTGGGCAAGACTATTATAATACTACGCTATATTACCATAATTTAGTATATTATAATGTAAATTGAATAATAAATAAAGAAACCTTTTTTAAAATAATTATTATTGTCACAGGGCACGAGCAAGCACTAAAGTAAGACTTTAATTATTGTACAAAGAACAAGAAGAGAGTCTTGTGCGCGCACGAGAATTATGTAGGGTATAGGGTGTGGGTCTATAAACATAGACCCACCTAGAATAGCTATGCCGTTACATAATAGCTAGAAGGCTAAATGTACTACAACTAGACAATTATATTCATCAACAATCCATATCTCTACCAACATATAAGCAAAAAAGATAGTAAAATATTTAGATTGATAGTCTAAATCGCGCGCATTTGGCTGTATATATATAATATGACCAAAATGTCGTAATGTGTTATAGTATTGAGAAGCCCACCTTAGCCTGTATTACTTTTGCGGTAGTTTACGCTGTTGGTAATACTATGTAGCCTTTTCTACTAGCGTAGTAACCTTAGGATTGAAATATACTATAATAAATTAATAAAGAAAATTAAAGCGAATAGATTGAGGTTATTCATAAGGCTGTACGATTAAAATTGATAATGTTTTATTATTTTTGCGGTAATTCTTATTATTCTTCAAATTAATACGTATTATACGCTTTTGGCGGGCGAGGTAATGATGTATAGCTTTTTTTATCCGCGCAGCAATATTAGAATCGAAATGCACTATAATAAATCGATAAAGGCAATTAAAACGAATAGATTGAGGCTATTCACGATGCTGTATAATTAAAATTAATAATATTCTACCTTTGCAATAGTTTTTAATATTCTTTAAACTAGTATATATTGACGTTTATAGTAGGCTAAGGCGGGCTTCTTAATACTATAAAAATATATTACGACATTTTGATTATAATATAAATATATAGCTAAATGCGCGCGATTTAGACTATTAATTTGAATATTTCATTATCTTTTTTGCTTATATTTTAGTAGAGATATAGATTGTTGAGGTTTTTAAAACATATACCACTTGCAAGATATATGTAAAAAATCTGACTCTCAAAGGGACGATAAGAGTCAGTTGGCTAGCTGCAAGCGTTCCCACCTAACCGACGAGTACGAAATCTTCCCCCCGGCGGGCCACACCCCAACCCAAGAAACCCGCCAGGATCGAGAGCGAAACAAAAAACAACAGCCCAAAAACGGGCACCGCACCCCACAAAGGGGGAGGAGATGGAGGGGGCGTCTCCGGAGCCAGCGGTACGGAGGGTTACAACAACGCCATTTTCCTTTTTTCGCGAATACGCACTCCCGCCCACCAGCCAGCCCGAGCCGTTCTGCGGCCTGAGTTGTTGACTTGTTGGACAAAACGAGTTCCGATGCATTCTGAAGCAGCTGGAAACAGCCGCCAAGCAGCGTGAGTGTGCCACCCGCATCATCTTCCTCCCAAAGGCCCGGTCGGTGCACGGTCCCCCAAACGTTGCCGACCAACAAGCTTTCAAGAGTCTCCCGGCCCGTGTGCCTCCACCGAGAAATACCCCAGCCCGCCGTCACCAACGCCTGGGTGCTTGCAACAACGCGGAACCCTATCGGCGCAAATGAGGTGGAGGTCCGTCATTGGGGGGCTTTGATAGTGCGGTGTGCGGGTTAGGTGCGGGTGTAAGGGGGCCAAGACAAGGGACCTGCACGTACAAACAAATCGCACGCCGTCAATCGACAGCCAGCACCGTACATGGTCCTCGTTTCCGTGGAAGGTCCGGGCCGGGAAACACGAGAAGAAGATCTGTGTTCCTCAGCCTTGGAATCCTTGATGGAAGATCTCGTCATGGATCCGGAAAATGGGTTATACCGCTGCTGCTGTTGCTGCCCTGCCGAACCCTGTCGTGGCCAGATCGACGGCGACAGGCAATTACTGGTATGCCATCATTATCATCACTTTTCCTTCTCGTTTTTGACTATCGTCCCTGGTGGCCCTTTCCGTTCTCGTTGTCATCGGCTCGTGCCACCTTTTACGTTCACGGCCTCGCTTGAGCATCCATCGTGGTTCCTTACATAATGGTACGGCACCCGGTATGCAAGCTAAAGTATTACCTATGACCTTTAGCAGAAGCCATGAATGATTCTGCCCACAATGGCAAAGTTGCCCTTTTGAGTGGGGACCCGGACATTCAAAGGAGAACACTGCTTTCGTCACTCGTCAGGTTTTGAAACAACCACTTCCTCCTCTCGGAGTTCCGAAGAGTAGCGATTCCACGATGTCGACTCCAAGTTTCCTCAATCACTATGCCTCACGTGCAGATATGTAGTGCACAAACAGCCCGTGGCAGCGGCGCGGCATCATCGCGACATTTGATGTCCGTTGATATCATCGCAACGCCGACGCGTAGTCATCATACATCTAGCATAACTCAACTTGTTCAAGCTGCCGGAGGTGCAGCTCGCCTCCGTTTTGCCTTACAGGTATCTACCGAACCCAGTTCACCCCCGTGATGATTCATCGCATGCATGTACCTCCTTGGGAGTATCGGTGCTAAGGTCGGCAGGTCGGGCCATTCTGATCTGAGTCCGCCGCGCATACCTGTGCATTTACCTATGCAGTTTACCACCATGGCAAACGAGGGGATGCCGACGAGGTAAATGCCTCTTATACAATATACCCCTGGTATGTTTGTTAGTTTGGTACAAAAAACGCCCATTTCCACTCTCGAGCTACTGAAAGTGGAAAACCATTCGGGTTTTCGAGCGGACGGGTGCTGTAGGGGATTACTCCCTTATATCTTCTAGTCTTGGGGGTTTCGAAGGAGACGGATAGAGGCATAAAAAGAGGCTTCTGTAGCGTATTAAGCCCTGATCATTGTCCGTCGCTTCAAACGAAGATTCTAAAGAGGCCAATGAGAGCTCCATATCTCCCCTGTTCAACCCATAACCGAAGAACCAAACTAACAAACAAACCAGTATTATATTGTATAGTGTCTCCAAGACAGGCACCGCCGGTATTATATTTCTCTCGGAGCCTGACACCCAGGCTTTTAGCCCGCGATTTCGGAGCTTGATATCCAGACCTCCCGGTGTTTCCCGTGTCCGTGTCCGAGTCGATGTAGGTAGTTCATCAGCCGGCCGGCGAGCCCCACAGAATACCGTTGCCGGCTTGCCGCTACCTCCTACCGCTAGTTTCCGCCCGGCCCCGCAATACAAACGCTTCCGATTGTGAGGCGATACCTCCGCAGCTCCGCAGCTCCGTACTTTGGCGTCTCCGGTCTGATACGGCTTGACAGAGTTCAAGTAATACCTATCCCGGCCGAGGTTCCAGTGCAAAAGCGAAAGCGGCTCACAGCTGTGGAAAGACCAGAATTTCAGACAAAGAAATAAACTTGGGACGGTTTAAACCAGGCGCTTTGTAATATTCGCCTTTATCTGCCACATTGACCTGGTTCCTGGATTTTCCGGCGTTCGCATGACATACTGCGTTGGGAAAAATATCAAAGCAGTTGCACAGAAGTGAGATTAATGTGATGGCACGTGTCGGATCCTTGCGTTTCGATCTGGTTTTGGTCCTCCATCCCATCTGTCATCGTATACTTATATAAGAACCCTTTCCCATCCACCTGAGTGTAGACTAGCTTCCTCTTCTTCTTCATCTTTGTATCTTATTACTTTCGCTAGAACTTCATGGAATCGCCAGCCCATACTTCTACGTGCTGTGACACTTAAGTAAATCAGAATATATAGGCAATGATGAAGCAACTGAGCGAGCGACGTGACCGTTTACGGCATACAGTTCATCCTTATGTGTTCGTTAGCTTAGCATCATGTTAAGTTGGCTAGGCGGAATTCCTAGCCTGATATTATCTGGTTCGCTTGTGTCCGCTGTGAATGGAGTCAAATTTTGGTCCATGTGTGCTGGACACGATCGATTGTGTTATTCAACCCCTGGCTCTGTGATGGCTTGGACCATTAATGGAGCTCCAGAATTCCTCATGTTCTCCCGTCTCAGTAGTAATGTGTAGTTAATATTCATCATCGCCAAAACAAGCCGCCTTGTTATCCCACTTACCTGTCCCACTAATACACTGTGTGACCTCTAATGGTCATGGCTATCCGGCAAATTAGAGGTTGCAATAAACGACGGGCATCCACTCTCGTGTACGTACCATACCTTACCAAGCGTTGCCAGGGTGATATGGATGAGATACCCGAACAAGGCAATCCGTTTCATGACGAGGGGTTGATGTACCCATGTAGCTCACTGAATGGATGGATGGATGGTTCATGGATGGATGGTTGGGTGGCTGTGAAAAGATTGGAATGACAGGTTGGATGGATTGCCGGGCATTATGGAGTGGGATATCAGATAATAAAGCCGAACGTGGTGGGTTATATATATGTACGTACCCAAGTAGATGGGGTACAAATACGCAGTAGACGAGGCGGAACCGACGTCCGTGTTTGGTTCTCGAACCATGGAAGCGAGGATGGCAGGATGGACATGATGGGTGTGGCTCATCAGCTGGGTTGCGTCGAACGTGTCGGATCGTTGGATTGCTGGCAGCCTGTGCCCTGTGATGGTTGGTGGGTAAAATGGTAGCGTGGAAGGAAGCGTGGGTGAGATGGGTAGGGTACAAAATGTGAAAATTGACGAGCAACCTGGGCGGAAGCAAATGAAATGGGTGTGGTTGCTCTTCTGGCGTAGATGGTGTTTAAAAGAGGTACCATGGGAAGTGTGTATGAGAAGAATATGGACGGGATGAGATAGCATGAAATGACGGTAGTGATGATAAACACAGACAACAATATCGGCTCGGTACTGCGTATGCTATATATCCCTTGGATATGAGACGGGTTGAAACGACATGACAAGCAGACGAGTGACATACCTTATGAATGGACCAGCAACAATGGTGGTGTCCGATAGTGTTGCTGGAAAGCGAATCCGTTTTATTAACCACCCACCATCCATCCATCCCGCTTGTGGTTGCCACATCCACGCAGTTGAGAGCGAGGAGCATTTTGAAAGGGAACGAAGATCACGCATGTGTCCCGAATGTGCGCGCGGCATGTAAAGTGCGTGCGTCATGCTATGCTCGTACTGATATGCAGGCGTTGGGTCTGCGGAATTGTGATGTGTCTTGGCTGTTCCTTTCGTTCCGATGGGCATTTGGCCTAGAACAGGAAACGGTTTGTAGCCAGGCAGAGCGTCCGCTCGAGGGAGGTTGATGCATCATCATCATCCTCAGTGCCATGGGGGATGGATGACCAGATCCAGGCACATTCCTGTCAAGGGGTGGGAGAGGGCTTATTGAGGTTCTTTTCAGTGGTCGCAAGGCGTGTTATGTTGCTCTCTTGTGGGGGTGATATCTTGGTGTCGGACGAAGCACGCTTGTGTGCGGGGGAAGCGAAGGCGGTTGGATGAAGAAGAGATCTGATATCGTGTACGGTATCCCCAGTAAATTGTACTCATCCAGAGCGGTCGGTGGGCCAGTCGGGGTGAATGAGAGCGATGAGAGCAATAACTGTGATCACCCTTTGTAGATGGGTGCAGAAAGTGGCAGACACAAAAGCAACAGTCAGTCACTGGTCTGACGATGGATGTGACTGAGCACAGGCCATCCATCTCACGGAAATGGGAGGTTTCTGGAGATGAGGCAGATGGAAGGATCAAGGGCTTGTGGTTGTGGTGGAAGGTGGGGTGGCACAAGCCGACGGTCACAGGTGAGACCGAATAGAAGGAGAAGTGGATACAGATCCGCCGGGGAAAGAAACAGGGTGGATACCGAGTTTGGAAGGCGAGGAAGGTTTGGATGATCCGACCGGCCACGAGCTATTTCAGGTTAAGCACCACTTTGGCGTTAAACCCTGAGGGGTAGTTGAGTTTATTTTACTCACCTTTGGTTGTCTTTTCTGTGTGTTAACAAAACGGCGGCAAGTCGGGTGTGCAGATAGACAAGAAAGATCAGGCGGGCCGGGTTAAGAATCAAGGGGCTAGAATCTGTCGGAATTGAGACGGGAACAGAATCGCGAGGAGTCGGGCCCGGGGTGGGGTTTGTTGCGGTACTTCCCGGTACGTTTGTTGGAGTCCCTTCGTTACGTAAGATAAGGTGTGCAGACTTTGATGAAGGCTTGCGGCCGCTCGGGTCACGTGCAAGTCTGAATTTATCCGTTGCAACCATCCCGTCTACCATCGGTTTGCGGACATGGTGGTTCTTCAGATGAACGTCCCCTCGTTTCCATTTTACCGTGTCTTTCGGGTTCACTGCTCCTGAAGACGGCCGAGTTTGATGAGTGGGCTCTGGCCAGTGTCGCATTTTCATCAGCTACACAACGCTTGTCAGGATCGAGGATGGCGGATGCCGAGATTCCAGTGGACGGTGACGACAATATCGGTCGCAGCCTTTCCTCCACTCTATTTACTAGAGGCTCCACCCCCCAAAGAGGCTCAAATTCCACTCAAATTTCAAAATCCACCCAATGTGACGGTCCAGTTGGTGCGACAACCACGGGAGGCTGTCACCACTTCCACACACCACTGCATCCGAAAAGAGGGGCCATCAGCCCAATTCCCACGTACTGTAGCGCCCAAGTGCATAGGCTGACACCTTCTATGGGTGTTTCCAGCGTTGAAAGGCCCGCCTCGACTACTGTAAGGATAGGGACCGCTGCAGGGCAAATGTATGGCCTGATGTGATGTGTTGGAGAAGTATGGCCTTCCAAGTACTGTGAAGGCGAGGAATCTGACTAAATACATAATACTGGGCGTACACCCTGTGCGTGTGCCCTTGCCCTATACTGTGGGTTGTACCTGCTTTACCTATATATATGGAGTTATAAGCCTATACCTTAACAATCTGCCCCCTCTAAAATGCGCTGCGCCCTCGCAAGCTGTGAATAACTATATAAAATTTAATAAGAATGTAGTTTTTTAATTTATGAAGTCCTTAATATTAATACGTTTTTTCTTATTTTTCCAATCCTAGATAAATCTTACTCTATTTTCGCCTATTTATTTTATAGTTTTCCATTTATTGTATTCGGTCCTGAGATCCTCGCATCTTAGCCTGTAGTATATTTTATTCCTAACTTTCTTTTCGTCGACGATATGTTTGAGTTAATCCGTAGCTTTAATAGGGCCGATTTAAGGAAGCTATTGGCTATAAACGTTAAAGGGTATTAGTTTAACGTAATTTACGGAGATTACATTATAAAT